AAAAAATTAACCGATACTTAACAGATATATTTCATAATCTCCATATTACACAATTAAATATTAGTATCTTACAAATGATTGTTTTTTTTTTTTTTTTTTTTTTTTTTTTTTAAGAAACCTAAATAAGTTTTAGCAATGTAAGTATCTACAGAATGTTTTAAAAGAATTAGCTCTATCATTTTATACTGAAAGATTACTACCTTAATTATTCGCAAATCTTGAACGTGATGTCTTTTACTATGTCTCCAGTTAAATCGAGAGTTCCAGAATCAAACCATGGAAAAACTACCTGTGTTTAGTGTTTCACATGTTCAGACACTGTTACATCAAAAAAATTAAATTTAAAATATTTATTAAAAAGAGAAAGGATTAATTTTTTTACTGGTGTAATTCAGGAAAAATAATTTAAGAATACTTATAAACAATCAATAGTTGAAAAAGACGCTGTTAAACCATTCGTATCTTCACTGCTGTTTATGCTAGCTTTTGCATCATTTGACACTGCCTATCAGGCAAAAAATAATTATACAGATTAAGGAAAAATCCTAAAAATAGTCGAAGTTTGTTAGTCGGAGATAAATAAACTTTCGGCGTTTTACTTTCTTTTCCAAGTTCTCACTGCAATTACCTGCAACTGTCTACAAACCTGGTACCAATGTACATTCTAATTTTTATAGCTGTACAGTGTAACTGTGAGAAAACAGAAAATTGGAGGGAACATGGATACGTGCTCACAGTCCACTGTGTGCGTAGGATGTAAAGGCACCAACATAATTTTATGGAAATCACAGCACGACCTGCAGGGAATACTACCTGTGAGTATTAAGTATATACAACTCGACAAATGGTCAATTTATAAAATAAGCTTCAAGGAACCATGAAACAGCGCCATAAAATTCCATTAACCCACTTCATAATTATTAATGGCGTTCTCTAATAATGAAAAGGGTTAAATGCATATTTTACTGTTTAAGATCTTCACTGACTTTTCAATGATAAAACTCGCTGATATTAAGATTTTATAGCAACAGAATAAAAACGTAAATATATGTACCTGGCATAATACATTTTTAATTTGTTTTCTTCAAAAATATGTTAGCAAACAGTCAAATTAGGATAATCTGAAAATAAAATACCTCCTTCAACAGTCAGTCTAAATAAAATTTTGCTTGATTTTAAGCAACCTCTATCTGTATTTATATGTTCAGAGACTGAACAACGACAAGCAAAAGGTTTGTGCATGCTGATAAAACTGCAAGAGACCTTTTGCAACGATGTACACGTCCTATGAAGATAGAGCATTAACACAACTTAATGATTTTCAATGGTTACAAATCGACACGTTATGGATGAAATTTGAGGGTGAATCAGGAGTGGTCAATCACCAAAGTCTCATTCAAAGTTACGAATGGACAGTAGCACCCAAAATGTTCTACAGCTGGAGCTGAGAAGTCATCAACTGTCGTACGGCAGAATAAGACGCCCAGACGATAAAGCTATTAGTGACTGTAACTGCCGAACCGAAGAGCACAGGTTCGAATCCTGGAGAAGATATGGATATTTATAAATGCTTAGTGTTTGTGACGCATTGAAGGCCACTCAAAATATACGGTGAGCCGAAAGTTCTGTCGAGAGGTTGATGGTAGGAGAAGAGGAGGTGAAAGACCCTCGGATCCGTCCTCTCCCCGTGTCGCTCTCCTTAAAAATTGGGGCGATGTTGGACTGTCATCTTCATGGTGCTGAAGGCTCTTGCCAACGCAATGTTGTGCTCCACGATAAATTTCGTGGCAAGATATTGTCTGAAGATATTTACTTTTCTGTTGATGAAAATTTACTACTTAATCTTTACTGTTGCTAAAAGCTGTGTTTTATTTATAACTGAGACAAACTCACAGCAATTCTTTGGATCAGGTATGAGAAATTTCACATAAATCTCAGAAACTTTGATTTGAAAAGTATTTAAATGAAGGCTATGCGAGTGACATTAATTAACTTACGGGAAGTTGTGTGCTTGTCTTCAAAGAGAAAATTTCAAATTCCTAAAGAATTAAAGTAACAATTTCTGAAAGAATCAGCCAGAAAAAGACTAAAGGATAACTGAATTCTACTATATGCTAATGCCCTACGCAATATCATCAAAGGCGTTATCTATAAGAACACAGTATTTGTTTTTAACAGTCTCCTCTCTTACTCTCCAGGCTCAAAACCTTCGGAGTATTTTTTATTTCTTTAACAGAAATCTCAGAATATATCAGAATTTTAGGAAGATGCAAATAGAAAATGAAAGAGTATTCCAGCACCCGACTTCCATGAAAGATAAAAAAAAATTCATTGGAGTGCTAAGATATGTATAGTATTAGAAAGATATCGTGCTATTAGCATTAGACATTATTGCATAAGAAGAATCTCATGCCTAAACAGAAATAACGAATTTATTAATCGCCTTTTTTTTTCCTGCAATCTGAGTCAGCTTTATGGATACTGCATATGCACATAAAAAGGAATGAATATCGTTTTGGAGAATAATTGATCTTTCGTTCAATAAAGTTCGCCTTTTACTTGTAAGTAATATGCAACGTCGAAAGTACATAAAGTTGAACTGAAGAAAATTTTAAATTTGTAAGGAAAGGCTTAAACGTTTTGGTGAATATTTTCCCATCCAATGCCTACAATTAACCACTATCACATGTAGTTATGTTAAATAAACTTACATAATAAATAAAGGGACATAAACAGTGGGAAACCTCACAGAAATCCTCTTCCTGTGTTCAGCTTAGAATCCAATAGGACAATGCGACGACAAGCGTAAAAGCAACTGCAACATTTATTTTTCATTTCTGGCTTGAAGTTACAAAAAATAAAGTGTCTAACAGGAACTTTACATGCGTTTCTTACGTCCAGAAATTAAAAAAGCCTGGTTCTTAACTTAATTTTAGATTTACAAGAAAATATTTAATTAAAGACGATTCTCGTTGGTTTTAAAAATATCTTAGTTTCTATCTTAGTTTCTATTTCTGAAGGAGTTATCGAAAAGTAAAAAAAACCTAGAATAAAAATATAAAATACCTTGTTAAATGCAAAAAAAAATATTTTTAATAACATAAAATAGCTTATTAGTTAAAAAGGCTTTTTATGTTTTCCTATCAGTTACTCCTACGCATTATAATTCTTGAAAATGTAACAGTTACACTAAATTTAAAAACATCGTTTAAATAACTATATTATAAGCATAGATGTGCTGAAAAGTCCTGATACTCTGATAAATTAAACAGACACGAGGCCGTATAATATGTCACATATATGAAGGTTTATAACACAATATAAATTTAATACAACTTTCCTAAATTCTCTGCAATATCTAACATTTAACTAGCTCAATTGAAGAGACTTAGTCATCGCTCTGCAAGTTTATGTCATCAAATGATTTCACGCCTTTCAATGTTAAATATGTAATTCATTTCATGCATGCCTATTTCTAACTCTCAGTTGAATACAATTTTTCCCAACAAACTAATGTTTGTTGCGAAAGCGGAAGGGAATCCTTATGCTTAACGAATGCATTCAAACCGCTATTGCATCGCGTGAAACGCTAAATGCCGCATTTAACAAAAGGAATTAGAAAATATGTAATGGGTTTTTAATGAAAGAAAAGCTTTAAATTCTCCCACAGCTTTCGAATGAATTTTGTTTTCAATTAAATTAACTTCCGGCAAGATTCGGAATAATATATTTCCACATGTTCGGATGTTTGAATGAAATATCACTTATAAATGCTCAACATAAACCCGCTAAAACTAATCAAGAAAGTTTTTATTTTTCTTTATTTTAAATTATGTTTTAAAGCAATCTGTATAAAAGAAACAAAGCTGAAAAGCATATAGGAAAATCGATCCATTCCTAACTAAAACTTCATAAAGAAGAACAAGAGCTAAGACGAAATGACGATTTTCATTTGTAGTTTACGAATGTATACTAACAGTTGCAAAGTAAAATATTCTTAGAGTATACTAAAATTTACCAGTTACAATATACTATATTGTGGAATAAATTTCAGAGGAATGTATTCATTCTTAAAACTTTATAAATAAAATGGAAAGTAACAAGAACTATATGACTTTTTTTACCTAGTTTACGAAAGTATGCTAATAAAGCATAGTATACAAATAGTTACACAATATAGCACAAAAAGCTCGGAAGCCATTAAAATGAATTAAAAGTTACAAAGCCCGGTGTCTAAAATTATTTAATCAAAATTAATGTTAAGAACTAAGATTAAAATGGCGATTTTTACTTCTCGTTTTACGAATGTATACGAACAGTTATAAATTAAAATATTCCAAGATTGTATTAGGAATTACAAAGTACAGTATACTAAGAATATGATGTGGAATAAATTTCAGAGGTATTTAATCACACTTCATAAATAAAATGAAAAGAAACGAGAACTAAGAATATATGCTAATTTTAACCTACTTTACAAAAGTGTGCTAACATTATAGAGTATACTAACAATTATACAATACACTATAGTAAGAGAATACACGCAGCCCAGACTGTATGGTGGTTAGGGAGCCTACTGCTGTGAAGGACCCGGATTCGAATTCCGGAGAAGATATGGATGTTTGTAAATGTATAGTGTCTTTGCGGCTTGGGGACACTCTAAATATATGGCGAGCTGAAAGTCCTTTCGTGTGGCTTGGTGGCAGGGAAGAGGCTTGGGGGACCCTCCGACCAACACCCGGTGCTATCCCTCAAAACTGGGGTGGAAGAAGAAGTCCAATCTCCTTGGTGCTTCTGGCAACCATTCTTCCATGAAATACATGGACAAGACAACAACAACAAGAAGAAGAGAATGCACCGTTAAAATAAGCTAACAGTTAATCAAAATTGCTTTAACTTTTTTCAGAAATGCGAACAATAAAATCAAAAATGGCCAAAATATTTACTCAAAAATCAATTGGTGTATAGTTTTTTTTTTTTTTTTTTTTTTTTTTTTTTTTAAACTTTTGTTATATACATATGTATGAGTTATACAATGCATTCATATATGTATACGTATCTAAACAAAAACAATTGGATTACTGTGTTTTGCTTTAGCTTAACATTTTTCTTAATTTTTAGAACATTTCGTAGAAATGCATTAAACTTCGTTTGTATTTACTTACTTGAAATAGCTGATTGCAGGTGAGCTGGGAATAAAATTCTCCGTGCAGTTTACTGCAGTTTATCTAGATAACTGCACAGCCTCGCATCTGGGAACTGTGGTTGCGAAACCCAATGTTTAATGCAATCTAATCAGAATTGATATTATTTATTTCAGTTTGATAGAGAAAACCAAAACTACACTCTTTAATTCAATATAAGACAAATATTTATGAATAATGTGTAAAATCTCAGAAATTCATGCTATTATATCTTTTATTAATCAGGATGTTGAAAAGCTAGATAAAATGCTTATATGTAAATAGCGCAGTCAGAGTTTCTTACAATACAAAAATAAAAAATAGCACACATCAACCTACACTTATTGTTAAACTGCTCAGAAAATCGAAGATTGAGATGAGCCTGTGAAACTTAAAGCCATAAAATGCCAGGATAGGAGTCTTTAATATGCGCTCTTGCGCAAGCATGTACGTGACCCAACACTGTCGTTATCTCACCGTTCTTTGCGTAACTGGTTAATGTGAGATAAACGACAATGTTAGAAACAGGTCTAACCCTCTCTGGCTGGAATGACACTCTAGGGAAGAAACTATCGTGCTATTTTCTCGTTTATGCAAATTTTACCTGATAGCGCGATAAGGCAAACTTGTGAACAGACGTCTGTCAGATGCTGTCATTTGGCTTGGATCAAAAATCCTCCGACGAGTTTACGGAGACCGTGTTGCCGTAAGTAATTTGCAGCGTGTAATTAGCAAAGTGAAGGATGCAAATCTCCCCACAACACAGGAAGTAAACACCTCTGTTAATTTCAGACACCAATCTATCAATGTGTCTTAAATAGGCTTTTAGCAAAAGTCAACAATACTCCCGCGTTAGAGATAACGAGCGAAACCGGTATCCCGCCAGAACTCGCATTCTTCGTACTTTCTGCATTCATTCGATAATTGAGAAGCTCGGAGGAAAGTACTTCGGGCCACGAAATGGAGCTTTTTGACTCCGTCGCTGTGAAACTAATCACTGCTAATATTCATCAAACAGGAGATGACGCTTTCATGCACTTGACTGCAAGAATTATGGAAGAGGGGAAATTATGTCTTAACAGTTCTGCCTTGAACTTTAACCATTTATATTGAAACAATATAAAATTTACAAAGTTTTATGATAAATCATAATGCCTTGAATAAAGCATAATTTATATTATATCATTGTTACTATTTTTTAATAATTTATATTATATCTTTGTTACTATTTTTTAATAATTTATATTATATCTTTGTTACAATTTTAAAAAGGATAATATTTGCCATATGTCCAAATATTATTTAAAATTGTAATTCAATAGAAAATACCGGTATCTAGACCTTTAAGAAATCGCATTTTTTGGCAGAAAAAAAAAATTGGAAAGGAGTACGAGCATGCGCAAATATCTCTAATTTGACTAAACCAGTTAAAATTCTCATACAGCCAAAAACTGCAAAACGAAATACGTGAAAGTGCGTAAAACTGATAATAAAAGTAAAGTGTGGCTAATTGAAGCTCTCTGATGAGAAATGCAAAAATAATAGTAGATCCTCTCTCCTTCTTAAACTGAAGCACTATTTCGTTCTTTTTCACATGTAATTTTGAACTTCTTTTCACTTTGCTAATGCTGCAACTTTTAGATTTTCATAAAAAAAAGTGCTTACAAAACAGAAGAAATTTGCATTAAAAAGAAGAAGGGGGAAGGTAATAAATATTTTAGATTATTTGTTTTATGTTCATCAGCATTTACAAAATAAATTAGACTTCAGAATTCCATTTGAAACAGAAAAATTTACTCTTCGTTCTTACATTTCTTTCTAAGTGGTTAATAATTATAAATTCTGTTAATTCGAAACCTGTTTAGTGCATGTAATCAGGACTCCATTAAACATGTAATCTGATATTAAAAAAGGCAAAGAAAGAAATGTGTGTGACGTGGACGCACTCAGCTGATCTTATAAGGTCAAAGAGACAAACCGTTTTCCTTCTGTCCTTCCGCAGCGTAAGAGAGTGGCCAAAATTGTCACTGTCTGCATGCGGTGCACTTTTCGCGTCAGGGGGATGTGCGTTAAATTTTGGAGTAATTTATTATTATGTTTCAGGTATTATTATAAATGTTTAACAATGCTTTTACCTGAAACATTGTGTACAGTAAAGTTTGTGATTAATTTCTTGAGTGCTTTATTTTATTAACTTTACTGCTCGTTGTTGCGCAACGTTGTTTGAGTTATGTTGTAAAATAAAACAACATAATTATTGATCCAGCTCATTTTAATATTTATTTGTTATTATTTATTTACTATTTAATCTTCGTTAATCTTAACAACAAATCGCAAAATGTATATATACTTTTAAATTTAGATTCATTGTCTCAGTCTCATCCCCATACAGTTCATGCCGCAGCGAGTTTCATGCGTTCTCTTATTTGATTCGCTAGAGAATCGGCGGCTTGTAGCGACAGAGGTGCAGGATAGTATTTTTTGTCTTCGGATACTTAACTGTTATCAACTGAGTTACCAGCAGCCGGAGAGAGTTTTCGGAGATTTCAAGACCTGATTTTATAGTTATCTGACTAGGTGTATTTGTTTCAGCTTTACTCTCAGAAATGCTATTCTTCTTGTATAAATAGGATATATTTATTCCATAAGAGTAGTCAAGTGAATTTTTTAAATTAATGACCGTGTTAGTTTAAGGTAAATTTTTGCTGGATTACAGTTTCCACAATTTTTTTTTCAAATATATAATTTAAAGATAATACAGTTCATGAAACAGTTAAGAAAATTCAATATAATAAGAATAGTCTATGAAAATTTCTGAAAGAATCTGCCTCAATAAAATTTGCTATAATGTACTATTTATTCCGAAGTTGATATTTTGCATTTTATTATTATTATTTATTTACATTTTTCCGAAGTTGACGTAATTTATTCTATACACACAAATTGACGAAATAATCTTATGTAACCCGTTCGCTGTATTACTCCGATTACGTAAGAAATCGAAAACTTCCATGGTTTGCAATTCGATACATCAATAACCATCTGTAGCAAATGCGTGCATAACAAACATCGGTGTGATTGTATTTTTAAAATGTTATATCAAATTCAGAAAAGTAAATTTCGAAACACATTACCCACCCCTTTGCGTTTAATATAAAAAAATCACGTCGTTGATCAAATCTATCATAAATTTCCTCCTACAGCAAAAACTGCAACATTGATGTCGAACCGAAACGGCAGACAGTTAAGGGTTAAAGTTGTCAAGACAGATCTGAATGCGAGAGAAACATTTTATTACTTTGGCAGAAAAAAAAGGTTTTACTCAGAGTTCTTCAATCCAAAAATACGATTCAGGGTATGGATTAGATTTATTTTATTAGATTTGCTTCCATAAATTCTAAAAAATCAATGAGTACTTGGTTTTCCTTGAACTAACTCACGGTATCATTCTTTCTTTAAACTGTGCGTAATTCATCTTTCTTTTAAACATCTTGGAAGACGATCTTTTCCAAGTAGGTTTTATTTTCTCTTCTTCCCTTTCATTCTTCTGTTTATCTACTCTCTATTTCTCTCATTGTTTTTTTAAACCATGTATTTACACTTCGTATTTTGAGAAACCCCCATTAGGTTCCGACGATGTAATTCTGACCTAAAACTCGGTATGTCTCGCTTTAAAAATTGAGTGAATTTCTTTACAATTCTGTATCATTAAACTGATTAGATTTTTAACATGAGGATTGTATTGGAATAATTTGTGTACCTTACTAAATATATTTTTAGTTATTATGTGCATCAGACTTTTAAAATGTAAATACAATTTTAGAAGCACAAAATGTAACTAATTTTTAATCAAATAAGAAGGAAGGTTTTTCACTATTCCAGACTTTTCAGGATGCAAAACACATTGTATAATCGTACAAGATAATGATACTAATAGTAGTAAATGAAATACTTCCACCCTGTTTGAAATATTTTAATGAACACAAAGCACGGTAAATCTTTCTGCCCCAGAATTTTCACTTCAGGCAATGTAAGGCACATCTTAATTAACCTGTTGTAATCTAATTTAAATCCTATTTTTATTAACGAGTTATTTTTTTTTAATTGAAATCTGTCTTATACCGCTACTACTTCATCTATTATTATACCAGAATTTGAAAGTCCGAAGCAATCAAGCGATTCAGCTGCCAAAAGTAGACCCTGAGCGAGCTAGTAATTTTTCTAGTCGTTTAAGTCACTCAGACAATAATGAGCAAACTAAAATACATAGTTGAATATTTCGTCCAGAGTAGAATTCTCTTGATAAGCAGCCGGCTATGCACGTTTTGCACTGCTGTCTTTGCGTACGTTGAAATTAATTTCTAGTTTCATTGTGAAGATATGAGCTAATGATATGATGTAAGAAACATGTTTATGAACTAAATGCATAGTAAAGCAAAACTTGGCAACAGGAACTTACGTAAAGTAAGTAAACTGAGCAATACAATAGAAAAATTGTATTCGAAGGACAAATAAAACATTACTATTCTTCTCCGAGTGCAATTTTACTTTCCAAATCTACGGTTGACTAATTAGCCCTAGTTTGCCTTTCAAAACTACAGTACAGTAAGTTTTACCTATTTAACGCCAATTGCTCTAAACAGCGTTTGTTCCTTTTAGTATTTATACCCTGATTTCTTTTAGAAAACTACCGTTATTTAAGCGTATAGCCCTAAATTCACTGCCTAAATTAAGTACTCTTACGTAATCTGTCAAGATAAAGCAATAAATTCACCGGTAACTTTCTACTTACTAATTGTTAGAATATAATCGAAGAACTTGATGCTCTTATTTGTACAGCTTTAGTGATATTTTTTAATATTATGATTCAGTTGCTTAAAAACGTCAGACAGTAAAATTTAGTGCAATCTACAATGAGTGAGAATTTAGTAAATTTTTAATATCACTGACTGATTCAAGAACAAGTTACTCTCATTATGATTGGGTTTAACTTTTGTAGGTTTCGCGTGCGATCGGATTTTGAGTAAAAAAAGGAAAACAAAATTAATTAATTTTTTTCGTTTCTAAAAGTAAAAATCTCATCAAGAAGTTCATCCCTTATTACACGA